GCCATATGATAAAGACAGGAAGGCATTTTGTAATTCCAAAGTAACCTCTAAGTAAAATGTCGATAAGCATCATACTTACCTTAGTTCCCTGAACTGCACCAGTAACTTGTGTGTGCATAAAAGATATCCACACTCACTCAGTGCAGATGCCTTCATAACACTGCCTGCCTTCTCTCCTGAAGGTGTAACTCGGTATCGACTTTACAACAAATTTAGCCTATACTTCTGCGTGGCCACCTATGTGTCTTGATTGAATTCTTTCATCAAAGGCACAAAAGAACCCAGTTATGTTGCAAGGGCAGATTCTTTGCAGCATCAGGATCCAGCTTCCCCATTACCTAAGTGCCTCTCTCCCAGTTTGATTTATGTTTTATTAATTTTATTGGTGCACTTTTGATATCCATAATGATCACATTTGTTGTAGGGAATTTGTATCTGTACATAATTTACTTTGATTCTTGTTTTCCCCCATCTCTCTCCCAATTTTATCAGTGAAGCATTTTTATTTATTGCTTAAAATAAATGTAAAATAAAACAACTCAGTTATGAGACAGTGGGAGCACGTGGGATTAGCTGGCATAATTATTTGAGACGAGAGTTCCACATTGCTTATCAAGATTTTTAAATGTTCATATTTTTTGATGTGATAATGAAGCTCATAGAAATCTCCTGAAAGAAAATAGTTCAAAATAGCAAAAATTAAATACTCCTTTTGCTGAGAAATAATCTAAAACTAAATCTGACATCTAGTGTTCACCAAGATAATTAAATGGCTTTAACTAAATGTCTGATAATCCAATGATAAGCAATGCTTTTTAGCAGTGTTATACTAAAGCCTTTTAAAATATTTTTTCTCCTTGGAAACACAGATCTGTGAGTGGTAGAGAAAGTTGTACATAGATTAGCTATACTCTTCATAATTTTTTTAAGTGACAAGAGAAGGAACAATGGGAAGTGAATAAAAATTTCCTCATGAAAAAAAAAATCTCCAGAAATAAATAGGAACAGGGCTGGGAACATGCATAATACCATCAGTGCTGAGGAGGGAAGGGATAGAGCAAAGAGAGGCTGATGTTCAGGCACAGTACAGGCCAAGGTCAGAAAAGGAAAGAGCTGCCAGCAATTGGGTTTTGTAGTTGAAGCTAAGATTGAAATCTTGGGCTCTCAGACACTTGGAAAAAGTGAGCTAGCTGTTAATTCTAGTGACACTGATATAGAAGAAAAGGCCCATTTATATTTTATACCTCTTCTATTTTCACTTTCCCCACTACAATAATTTTTAATACAACTGTCAAGTAAGAAAAAAATCATCTTTGTACTCAGGATTGTGCTGCTTGGTTATCTTTTATTTGTATTTTCCTTACTACTAGTGTTTACCAAGATTAGAGACAAAGGATACCAAACTTCCAGTGTATCACAGACAATTTAAGGAAACTTAATATATAGTTATTTCATGCTTTCTCAAAATTCAAAATCACCAAAAAATAGTGACTAAAAATACAAAATAGAATCAAACTTTGTATCACTAGATGTGATTCTGTTCTAGAGGATGTGTCAATTTGCCCAACTTACAGTGTCTTATCTTGCTCACAAAGGTTGAGAAGACCAAATTCTTAATTGTTTCTCTCATCTCTCTCAGAGGGTCTTAGGCAGAGTGAATACTCATTCTTGTTAAAGTACACAGAGGCTGACAAAATCTAGTCAAGATCCATCTAAGCAGACAAGGACATGTTTCAGACCTGGGCATGTTACCTTTACTGACTTCATTTATCACCATTGTTAGCCATGGCCACACCGTAAGATACTTACTAGCACTTACCAAGGGCTTCTCACTTCCCAGTAAAAGCCATTAAGCTGCTTTCAGAACTGTATTCCTATCTCATTCCTTGCTTTTTATGTTCACAGTTAAATCTCAAATAAGCCCCAGATACTATTATGCATATTTTCTGCAACTACTTTACATTGTTTCCCATCTAGCATTATGTACCTCTTTTCCATATTAGCAATCATAGTTTTCTGGTGTTCCATAGAATTTCATTGAATATACTAAGTATATATAGTGTAATTTCATTAAATATAAATTAAATCAGTGAGCTACTTTAAATATCTTGATTTTGCCTTTACAAACAATGCTGCAATGGATATTTTTATATGAATCTTTCTATATTTTCTATTATGTTTTACTCAAATCTAGTCTTTATTTTTATAACTGTATGAATGTGATCCAAAAATGTCCACCACCACTTTCCCGAGAGAAACATACTGTAAACAAACTGTCTGCTCACTCATAGGTGTATGGACTCCCTAGATGTCTCATTACGCTTAACTACAGATGATTCCCAGAGTTACACTTTCTATTACACTAGCAAGACAAATTGTAAGAAGTAGAATTGTTGGGTGAAAGCGGTATGCCTTTTTTATTGTTCAGACTACAGGCTTGCTTTCTATTCATCAGTATTTCTTATTCCAGTATAATACGCATACAGAAAAGTATATTATAGTTGTACGGCTTAATGAGCTTCGCAAAGTGAATACACTGGTGTAACCTACCCAGGGAAGGAATCAGAATATTAACAGAAATCCAGAATACACATTCATGTCTTCTAGTTACTGTCCTTCTGAAGAGTAACTGATTCTTGGCTTCTAAAGCTATACGTTAGTTTTGACTAGTTTTGGACTTTATATGACTCTTATATAAACAGAATCACACACAATTTGTAATCCTGTTTTTGGCTTCTTTTTGGTACATGTATTTAAAATATCTGATAGAACAATGGGGACTTCTCATTCCTTGAGTGTTCTTGACTCTCAGTATAATTTCACACCACTGACCATTCCTGCATCTTGAAATTTTTCTTTCTCTTCCATGACAGTCACCTCCTGGCATTGTTCCTATCTTCCAATTATGCCTTCTCTTATTCCAGAATCTTCTCCTCCACTCACCTAAAATATTTTATTACTCAATGCCAAGCTCCTGCCAAGCTCCTGACAATCTCAACCAAACCCAGGGGACTTTGTAATCATCTATCTGATGATGTCTCCACAATATATTTTTATGTCCTAGACAACTTATCTGAGCTTAAGACTGAAATATTCATTATCAGTTGCCTTTTCAAAATTTATTCCAAGACCTGTTCCAGTGTTACTGATATCTGTGAAAAATACCACCAGCCACAGATTTCACAGCATAGAAGCCTCAGTCATTCTTACCATTTGTCTCCAGCCACTAAATTACTAAATCCTACAAACTTTTCCTCTTAAATAGGCAGGGTATCTCTTGCTTAGCTTTCCAACTAATTTCCAAACACACTAATATTCTGCTTAAAGCTCTTTATGGTTTATATATTACACTGAATAATGACCTTAAGTCAACAAATAAAGCCCAGTATTGATCTGGCTTCTTCTTAGTTCTTGAGTCTCTCTCTCCTCCTTGTCCTTCTTTCCTCATAAATTCTTTTGTTTGTTTTTTTTGTTTGTTTGTTTTTTTGGTACCGGGGATTGAACTTGGGACCTTGCACTTGCAATCCAGGCGCCGGAACCACTGAGCTAAATCCCTGGCCCACCTCATACATTCTTTAAAGGAATTTGAAATACTATTGAAGTTGGGCAATTATATCCAGCATGGTTATCTGGAAGACAAAAGTAAGAAAACAAGGTAAGTGGAATTTGGTACAAAATTTTTTTTTTCCAAATATGATGGCCCATTGCTGGGAGGGGAAGTGTAGGTGGAAAATTTAGAAAGCAATGAGATAATGAAATAATTACCTTCAAAGACTCCACACTGCTTACTAGACCAATTAACATAATGACTAATTCTACAATGTAGTTGTACAATTTGTTAGGAATCAGACAAACTTAGATTATTGTGTCGATTTAGCCCATTAAAGCCTGCATAGCATGCAGAGGACTGTAATATTGATTATGCCCAAAGCAGGCTGTGAAGAGTTAACCCCACAACTGGCTTGTTTTGAGAACTGAGTCTGGCCAAAGCTTATGCAGCTGAGGTCAGAGTAACTCGCACCCAAATTCTGTTCCCACAACTAAAACCTTCTCACTAGAAGGACAACGTTCTAATTACAATCATATATTTTGCCTGTTCTGTTCCTAATTCGAGAATGCTTTGTCTTGTCCTTTATGAGCCTTGTTTACATTAATTTCCATAGAAACCACATGTCACTTTTACCTCAATTGATTGCCAATAAAAGTCAGTGCCAGGCTGGGGATTTAGCTCAGTGGTTCCACCACCTGCCTCACAAGCACAAGGTCCCAAGTTCGAGTTCGATCCCTGGTATCCTCCCAAAAAAAGTCAGTGCCTGGGTCTGGCCAGCACCTTTGTTACACCGGCATTGGTCGTCCTGGCACCCTGCTTTCTCTCTCTAAGTTCTGTCTCTTAGTGTATTTTTTTCCTCAGGCCTGCATCAGACTGGGCAGGTGGGGACTAGAGACTTACTGCAGGAGTCTCTGCCAATAACATCTGGTGAATCATAACAGAATGCTCACAATAAAATCACACCTTATCTGTCACAAGGATTAAGTTGGGTGCATCTACATCCAGGATTTGGCACAATTTTTTGGACATAGCCAAATGTTAAATGAGTAGCAGGCAAATTACTGTTACGAAGTAAATGTAACAGTATTGCCCTGTATTAGGCAGAAGTAACACAAACTCAATCAGTGCTAAAGATAATGAGAACCCTGAGGATAGAAACTGGGCCATGTTTTCCCAAGAGGATTATGACTCACTCCTATTACATAGTATGCTTCCCTCTGGCTCCAAGGAAGTTCCCAGGTAACCTCTGGTTCAAGATGATGAATATCTTCATTAAAATGTGCTCTACATCAGCCAATTTGTTTCTTTTCCTCAGAATAATTACCAGAAATTTGAATTTTCCCTTATCTTTGGAGTCAGGACTTTGACTACCATAGAGGAATGAAAGCAATATTTTTATATGGCTAAGTGAAATATATCCAGTATAGACAAATCCAACCATTGTGTTTTATGCCTGCTTTTATTGTAAATGGAAGACACAGCTTGTGTCTCTTCCTGTACTATCCTTGAAAAATTTACATAAAAGAAATTGGAATCCAAATTGAAAACAAATCATGACAAGGATAGAATAACATACTAAGTATTTAAGCATTAAATTTTTTTATAAAGAAGATACATGATTTAATAAAAAGTACAAACTGAAATAAAGATCACAGAGCTCTGGCTTTGCCTCCAACATAAATTATATAATCTCAAAAAAGCCATTTATTTTACCTGGAGCCCAAATTCTTCCTATGTAATAAGAGGGATAACATTCATTATCAAAATTCTACGGGCATAACCATATGCATATAGATAAAACATATATGTAATATATGTATATGTTTATATTGTATTTGTATCTCTGCATATATACCAATATATGAATCTTAGTTTCTTATGGAAAAGCAGATTATAAACAAGGGGACTGGAATAGGCTATGGGTTAGTCCTACTTACAGGACATCTATTTATAGCATTAGGATGCCTGTATCTTCATGCATGTAAGGCAACACAGAAGTGGAAACCTGTTGGAAAAACAAATTCTCAGGCCCTACCCTGTACTTAACTGAAGCAGGAACTGTGGGGGAGGGGCCAGCCATCTGTTTGCCACCTGCCTTCCAAGGATTCTGATAAACATTAGAATGTGAGGACCTGCAGCATTTGAACATTGCCATGGGAGAATAGGCTAGTGTCTTAAACAGAAGTGAAAAAAAAAAGTCAAGAAAATAATTAAAGGAGAAAATGCAGAAGACTTTACAGAGAATTAGGTCAGTGGTGGCAGTAATAGAGGTTGGTGAAACATAGCAAGGAAGAGGGGAATTCTGTGGCAGTAAGAGCACCATATAGAGCAAAACCCAAGCAGTAAAGCAGTAACTGCTGTGTTAAATCATTTATTCTCATATAATCATTTCTTCCACTATGCTATGAATTACTGGCTTAAGAAATTTCTTCCCTATAGTGCATCCTAAAAGATGACAAAGATGACAGACATCCTCTGTTCTCAGCCACAGATACCCCAACTCCTGCAGTTATTTATGGTAGAAACCCAAGACAGGAATAGTTAATGTTTCTCAGAATGGTGCTGCATGTCTTCTCCAGGCCCTTTTCAACAACACAAGAATCTCCTGATTTCAGGTTTAATTCTCCCCTCCTTGGTAGCCAAGAGTATGTATGTTTAGGGAAAGTAAGAAAATTCCTAGAGTTTTACTGGGCTAAAGACAAGCTTGCCTAGGAAGGCCTGGGGGTAAGAATCAGCCTATGAAAACGACAAGGCAAGAACTCTGCATGGACACTCTTCAGGAGGCTGATAGATGCCACGTTGTCATCCAGGACATTTCCTTGAGAGGGGAATCCCCGGCTTTGCAACTTCCTGGCCAGTGTGAGGGCCACCAGCTGGCTATAACCCTTCCTGCGATGATCGGGTAGGGTATAGCCATGGCACATGGTGGCAAACTGGTCTGTGATAGCCCAGGATACTGGGTTTCCCTTGTCATCACGGACACACACACTGGGGAAGCAAGAGATGAGGCTGGCAATGTACCGGAGACACTGCTCATTACCGCCCCTTGACCAAGTCCGGTTGAGTAGATCAGCATCAGCAACACTCAGGTGGGTTAGGCGTGGGGGAGAACTCGTTCTAGAAGAAATGACATGAGAAAAAGTATGAGCTCAGAGTCATGTGGTTATCAATAACTACCTTTTTCATACTGACTCAAACTCAGAAAAATATCCCTGAGACCATGCCTAGCATTTTCAATGAGTTAGAACCCACCATTCCCCACTCACAAGCCACCTCAAGGTTTCATTTCTGAGAAGACTAAATACTTGTTATATCAAATTTAAGTCTTTCTTTTATTTTTATTCCTATTTATTTTCATCTTCAGTCCAGATTGAAGAAAGTGTTTATTGTTAAATTTGGCTTGAAATTGCTAAATTGCAAAATTAGGCTGCCTCATGACTTTAATACCTAGGACACACACTGTAATCTAATTTAGCTTTTGGTTTGTTTACATACTAACTTAGAAGAATAATAGACAGCTGAGTTTCAGCCAGTTTTAATCAGCCCATAGGTGGGAATTATGCTTAAATAAAGGCAGCTGTCTTGCTGCAGCCAGTCTGGTGATCTGTTTTGCTCCTGCATCTGGCCGATAAAAACTTGCTGTCATTGGGCTGGAGATGTAGCTCAGTGGCACCACACCTGCTCGACAAGTGCAAAGTCCTGAGTTTGATACCCAGTACCAGAAAAATTTGCTGTCACACTGCTGGACAGAGTTCTCTGAGCCTCCTCTAGTTTAAGCACTGCCAGATTCATGAATCATTCTTTGCTCAAATAAGCTCTTCTAGAGTTAACTTGTCTAAGGTTTTTCTTTTAACTCTTCCTTTGTAGAAAAAATTCTCAAATTGTTCTTAAGTCCTAAGTCTGCTAAAATCTTCTGTGAGGTACTGGGAAAGTTCAGATTCTTAGAATCTAATTCTAATCTTTTACTCAGTAAAATAATTATTTTAGCAGTCAGGATGTCTCTGCTTTTATGTATCTATGGCCAGAAAATGAATACAAGTTGCTCAATATGTCAGACATAGATCAATATGCCAGGCTCTGTGAATCTTAGCTTTCCCCAGTCTTCCCTGGGTTGCTCGTCTCTAGGTTACATATTTTCAGTTTTTTCCACTGGCCTATTTTTATATACTAGTTGCTTTGTACTATATTAATTCCAATGCCAAGCTTCTAATATTTGCTATATAAAAGGCTTGATATAAAAATAAGTGACTTTTGCAATTTTAAAGAATTGAGACAAATTACTTGGTTGAAAACTTGTAAGACTGATTGTGTCTTGGAATTTGTTTTCATTCTTGAATTTATCAGTACCATAAGTGCATCCTAGGCGAATATTAAAAAGACTTATAATGTAGTTCTCACTATGAGTTTTGTGAAGTACAGTCTTGCGTTATCTTTTTCTCAGTAGTTGTGCAGTGTTAGCTCACGTTCTAGGCATATTGTCAGGTAAGGCACTGGGTCAGTCCTCTGTCCACTAAACAGGGGTTAAGTTAAATATATTTGCTAATTTGTTTCCTTTATACTACTAGGTCTTCTTAGTTCATTGAAAAGAAAGTTTTGTGCTATTATCTATTTGTTTCTTTTTTGTAAGAGTCTTTTTTGTTTATGACTTGTACTTTCACATTTTGGTCATTCTTTTAAGATTATGGTACATAGTATATTAACTAATGTTATTCTTTAATTTGTTATGAAATTTTGCTTTAGTTTTTCATATAAGAAGACTTTAAAAAAAAACATTTCCTTTATTTGTATCTACTTGTATTACATTGAAATAAAAATAAAATTTAAAGAAGACTGGCTTAATAAGATTTTCAATTTAATTTTTAAAATGAACTTCAAAGCAAGGGGAAAGAACCCTCATGCAAAAAATATTGTTACAAACAAAAACATCACCAGAGCAAGTACTTCAGGAAGAGTTACATTTGAGACTTTGAACTGGAATCTGAGGGGTAGAGTATTCAAAATAGTTTACACAAATTTTAGTAATAATTTAGGTGTTAAAGATAAAAGATAAAACGTCACTATTAGAAGAAAATATAAGGGATAAACTCCATGACACTGAAATGGGCAAGAATTTTTTGGATAAGTCTCCAAAAGCCCAGGAAACAAAAGCAAAAATACACAAATGGATTTGCAACAAACTAAAAAGCTTCTGTACAGCAAAAGAAACAATAGAGAAAATTTGCAGAATATGTGAAAATATTTGCAAACTATATTTCTGATGTGGTTGACATCCAGAATATATAGAAATCAAAATATATCAGTAGCATAAAACCTAAATAATACCAATAAAAAATGGTAAGGGACCTAAATAGACATTTCTTACAAGAAGATAGAAATGAGCCCAGTGTGGAGAGCAAGTCCTCACATTTTAATGTTTAGCTCAGTGTGAAGGCCCTGGGTTCAATCTCCAGTAAAATCGCTAGTACTTAAAAAAAAATAAAGTTCAGTTGCTTTCTCATGACTTAAAGTGACCATTCATTAGATTTAGTTTTTTGCTCAACAATTTCTTCACAAAAGTGAAGAAAATTAACATTCACCGAGGTGGGTGCTTTTCAAGTATATTGTTTCATTTTCTATCAAAGTAGCATGTGATGAAGATTGTTATAGTTTATATCTAGACTTCCCCGCAAACCTCATGCACTCATAGGTGGGGCTTTTGGGAGTGAATGGATCACGGGGGTGACACTATCAGTGGATTAGTCCACTGAGGAGTTTATAACTAAATGTGATGTTGGGAGGTGAAGTCTGGTTGGAAGAGCTAGGTCACAGGGGCTGTGGCCTGCAAGGGTATATCTCCTCCCCTCCTCCCCTAATTACTCTCCGTTTCCCACCACAGTGCATGAGCTGCTTCTCCTCTGCCTTGCCGCCCTGCCTTGGAGCCAAAAGACTATGAACTGAAATCTCTATAAACTGTGAGCCAAAATAAACCTTTCTCCTCCTTAGAGTTGTAGTTGTCAGACATTGTGTCTCGGTGATGAGAAAGTAACTAAGACAAAGATACATTGTCATTCTTGAGAAGAAATTATTGCTCAGACAGGTAGCTGAGGGGAACACGGAGTAAATGACAGAGCAGGAACTCCAGAGTAAGAGAAAAGAATGGATGCAGATACCACTAACAACATGCTTTCAAGGACTGATTTTTGGAGTTGGGCTTCACGTTATTTCCTGGGTCTAATAATTACTCTTCTGTGTTACTTCAACTCTATTAAAAATGGAATAATAGTCCTACTTTATAAGAATATGGAAAGGATTAAAGGGGTAATATTTTAAAACATTTAGTGCCTGGCACATGAGTCAATAATATGTCCCTTTCCTGAAATAACAACAACACAAAAATAAGAACTGTGGACTCAGACCTATGGAGATTACTTAGAACTATTTTGGGGAAAAAATACACCAATGAATGATTTTTCTACATATACCATGAAAACACAGGTATTCTGAGCTCATTTATAACTATGGAAAATGACACTGACTTACTTTTCAGGGAAATTATGAGCAGTGAAGTATAGAGGAGGGAAGAGTAAACACACACACAGTTTAGAGTCAACAGCTCAAATCCAAACCGCCAAAGTGTGCCTTAATGAGAGGCACTCCAGTCACTACCATCTGAACCTCTAAGGCATTAAGTCCTGCCCCCAGTGCAGAGCATGGTTTACATACAGAAAACGGGTGTCTGGCAGAGATGAAACAGGAGAAAACTGAACGGCCTTGAAGGAAGATAGCTTTACATCCAACTGCTTTGAATTGGCAACAGCTTTGGAAACTTCATATAACTCACTGTGCAACCCTGTGTAAAGAAAGACAAAAAGATGAGCATTTTATTGGAAGCAAGAATGAAAGTAGTCACACTATTTTCATACCAAGTATCATCAGTATCACCAGCTTGCTATCTTGTTATCCTACTATATATTTATATATAAATTCTTAGTTATTTTCTGTGATTTTTAAATTTTTGTGGATTTTTTTCCAATCAATTCCCACTATGTTGCCCATTGTGACCATCTGTCATGATCTTTTTATTTTTATATTTTGGTTTTTTGAGACAGGGTCTCACTGTGTAGTACAGGCTGGCCTTGTACTATGTAGCCCAGGCTGGCTTCAAACTCACAGTGATCCTCCTGCTTCAGCCTCCTGAGCTCTTGGGATTACAGGCATACGCCATCACACACGGCTTCATCTGTCATGATCTTTCATGGCAATTTCTATTAGAAATATTCTATGAGAAACTGAAATATCTTGTAGGAATATAAATTTTTTTTCACTCTCAGAGTGGCCTTAAAGTGACAGTATTTAATAGCTTGCAAAGTCTATGCTATGATCAATTCTGTGTGAGAGTTTGGATTTGTGTGGTGTGGCAAGCCAACTTTAAAGCTTCTCTTCCACTCTGTTACCAAAATGCTCATTACAGTATTAAAGATATAAATTAGATGTAGGTGAGTGTTATGGCTTGTGTCTAGATGTCCCCCCAAAGCCTCATGTCCTCATGGGTGGGGCTTTTCAGAGCTGGCAGGATCTAGGGTGTGTGACACTGGGATTAAAGGTGTGTGGTACTAAATTAGGCTACTGGTTGGAATTAGCATACTTCTGGGTGTGGCTGAGTGGATTTATTGAAAACAGAAGCTCATCCTAAATATGGGCGGCACCACCCACAAGGCTTGTAGCCTGTTTGGGAGAAAAGGGAAACATGCAGGCTTGCTCCTGCCTGCCTTGTTGTAAACTGTTTCTCCTCTGGGATGTCCCACTACCAAGCCACCCTGCCTTGGAGCCAGCCAATTACGGGCTGAAACCTCTACAAACTGGGAGCTGAAATAGACTTTCCTCCTTTAACTTGTGGGTGTAAGGTATTTTGTCTCAGCAACGAGAAGAGTAACTAAGGCAGTGAGTTTACACTGAACTTACCTCACCCAGATCCCTCTTATCATAGCTATAACACATCATTTGTAAATCTTTGTTCGGTATTTGTTGTGCATAAACCACTGTTCTATGCACTGTTTCATGGTGGTAAACAAAAATGGTACAGCCCTGCCTGTTATGGTGGTACACACCTATAATCTCAGCTGCTTGGCAGGTGCAGGCAGGAAGATGCCAAGTTTGAGGCCAGCCTAAGAAATTTAGTGAGACCCTATCTCAAAAAGGTGGAGGGGCTGAAGTAATGGCTAGTGGTAGAGTACCCCTGGGAGAGCTAATAGCATGACTCCTACTTCCAAATTCCCATCTTCTTTATTCCTTCCAATCTGAGTCCTTACTGAATGAATTCTCTGGAAATTGCCTTTCTCTCTTCCATGTTTAAGGACTTGTTTTCTTTTCTCTTGTGAGCTACTTCCTGGCATGGCCCTGAGACTTTCTCTTGAAAAAAATATATGGGAAGGCATATTGAACAGAGTGTGGTACCTGAGCCGTATCTCTTCTCTCAGGGATTTAAGCCTCAGAAAAGTCAAGAAAGTTAATGCTTCTAAAACTACAGATGCTATGACTAGCATTCCATTTTATAAATCTGATTTACATCCAAGTAACTCAAAAGATTTTCTGTGAGGAAAAAAATAGGCAATACCAATCAAAGTTGTTTGTACAACATTCGAATAAAAAATGGTAAAAACATAAAATGTGTATATATATATATGTTTGTGCACATGTGTCGATCTCATATATATATGAAATTCCTATTTATATCTCAGACATGTACAATAAAAAAAGGAAAAATAACTCCATAGTGTATGTCTTACATTTTACCTCACCTTGTATTTGAAAAACTTGGTCCCAGTTAATGACATCACGTTCTTCCAGGAGCTGTTGGTATGCCCTGATGTCCTTGTAGAACACCGCATAGGCGTTAGTATAATGGTCGAGGTTATCTGCCTCAGCCTAGAACAGAAGACAGTCACTAAACATATCCTCCAGATAACAGGATTCCTGGAGAGAGTAAGTATGGTTAGCTGGGCATGTTCAGCTAGTTTTCCATTATCAAAATTAGTCACCTAAAAAAAATGAAGTGAGAATGAATCCAATATACTGTAGAGAGAAGAGTAAAAAATTTGACTTTTGTTTGATTTTTTTCCTTTCAGTTTAGGAGGGTTTTAAGACATTTATTTCACATTCTTATAGGATTTTATTTATTTATAAAAATGCAAAAAGGCTGGTTGTGATGTCACATACTGGTAGTCCCAGCTGAGGGAGGCTCTTAGGAGGCTGAAGCATGAGGATTCCTTAAGCCCAAGACTCTGAGGTCATCTTGGGCAACATAGTAAGACCCTATCTCAAAAATAAAAACAAAACAATAGGGGTGTGGTGCTGTGGCTCAGCGGCAGAATGCTTACCTAGCATGTACAAGGCCCTGGATTAAATATCCAGCTCCGCACATACACACAAATATCTAGATGAATGGATGGATGAATGGATGAATGGATGGATGGATGAATGGATGAATGGATGAATGGATGAATGGATGAATGGATGGGTGGATGGATGGGTGGATGGATGGATGGATGGATGGGTGGATGGGTGGATGGATGGGTGGATGGATGGGTGGATGGATGGATGGGTGGATGGGTGGATGGATGGGTGGATGGATGG